GGACCGGACGCCTTGTGGTTGTAGTTGGAGGGGAGCCTGTCCAGCAGCTCGGCATCGATGAGGTCCGTGACGTCGTTCATCATTTCGTCGAGGTTGGCCTGGATCTGTTTCTCGGAATCCCAGTGCGCCTGGCTCTGGGATAGRGACGCAWAGGATGCCTCGGCRTCGATGGGAATGGGATCCTGTACGTCGCTGCTGGACGTGGTGATCTCGCCCGGGATCGGTCCGGACGGCGGAGCGACCTCGTCCATGTACTCGTCGCTGTCCGAGCTCTTCTCGTCCTTGGCCGTGGACGCAATGGTAGACAGGGTATCCCAGTATTCATCGTCTTTCTCGAGCAAGAAGCGTCCCTGTTCCATGAGAAGCTTCTTTCTCGCCTGTTGCCGCTCGATGCGCTCGAGCTCGGCTTGTTTCGAGGCGGCCGCCGTCCGCACCGGGGACCGCGGGTGGTTTGGTTCCGGGGCGGGCTGTCCGCTGGGAAGGAGATCGAACTGGTCGTCGGAAAAGGGGACGGAGTCGCCCGATCTAGATCCGAAGAAACGCCGGTTGTCCCCCCGGATCTTCGGTGTGTTTGCGTTTGCGTTTGCGTTTGCGTTTGCGTTTGCGTTTGCGCGTTCACTCCGCAGCGAGTGCTTCTCGGTGTCGTCGCCGCTCGACGCAAGGCCGTCGCTCTGGCTGTTGTTGGGATCGGCGATCTGGAGCATCGAGGCCGCGAGGTTCATAAAGGAATCGAATTGCACCGGCGAGTGATCCGCCACGGGAGCCTCTCGGGTCGGGCTCTTGTGCGGGCTCGCCAGGGGGCTTGTGCTCTGCCGGCTCTCGGCGACGGCAGACGAGGGCATCGCACCATCCGTTTCGTGTTCGGACGTCCGGGTCGTCGAGATCCGTTTCCCGTGGTTCCGGATGGCGTTGTCGATGGCCTCGTTGAGGGAAGAGGGCTCCGGTTCYTCGTTCGATTGGCCGGTTTCGAAGCTCGATTCGTAGCTGCCGCTGTATTCGGTGTACTCTGTTTCGACGCGGGAATCGGACCTCTGGGTTTCCCGGGTGAGGACGACCGGCTGCTCGTCGGGCAGAAAGCAGATGTTGCCTATGTTGCACCCGTAGACCTCGTTGTCGATGGTTCCCGCCGTGGCGTCTCCGAGCAGGGTTCCGGAGTCGAGCTGGTCGATCAGGGCCTTGGCGTCGTGGGAGGTCACCATGTCGGGAGGAGGCGCCGAGCCACCAAAGTCGCTCCCCTCCAGTTCGGAGGTGACGGGACCGGTGACCGGGTGCTGGTGTCCCCGGCGGGGATCGGACAGCAGGTGGTCCACCAGCTGTCCAAAGACCCGGGGGACCCCTAGGGTCGAGACCGACCCGTCGTCATGCTTGCGGTGCGTGTCGTTGTTCATCATGATTTCTGCCACGGGGAACTTTCTCGGGTTTTTCACGGAGGCGTCCAGGTCGGAGATGGAATCTCCCCTGCGGACCGTCACCTCGCTGATGGGAAAGTCGGAGAAGACGTGGCTTCCAACATTGTTGTCGGAAGCCATTCGATCGGCATCGGTGACCGCATAGGTGTGGAAGACGGCTCCGGGCAGGCGGGGCTCTTGATCGGCGGCGTCCTTGGCGTTCTTTTGCTTGGACGCCAGGAGGGCCTGCTGGGCGAGCGCCCTGGCTTCCTCCTCGCTGGGGTGGCCGTTCCCTCCGGTGTTCTTGAAGGCCGCCGCATCGACGGCGGCGGCGGCCGCGGCCATGGCCGCCTCGATGGCCGAGACCTTTTTGGTGGCGGAAGACTTTGGCAGGACTTTTCCCAGGATTTTCTTGACGAGCGACTTTTTGTTTCCGACGAGGTGGTTGTTTTCGTTGTTAAAGTCCTCGAACTGGGCCTCGAGGATGCGGCGTGCCTCGGCCGCCTTTTTCTCCTCGGTTTCCTTCAGCCACTSCGCCTGGAGCTTGTCGTAGTCCTTGGAGGCCGGGGCCGCCTTTTCCTGTGTCATCTGCGGCTGGCAGCGGCTCATGGTCATGGGAGCGGGGGAGGAGAACTTGAGCCCCTTGTTGATGTCCACCGTCTTCAYCTTGGACGCCGCGAGGGCGGTCCTTCGCGGGGATTTCGGCGATCGCGGCGCCTTTTTGGGTGACTGGGCCATCTTCCGGATGGGTGCCTTTGGCGACCGGGGGGACCGGGGAGAAAAGTTTTTGACGGGGTTGGTGACCTTGTCCGAACGGCGTGGCTCGGGCATCGCTGTGCACGCCGCGGGCGGGGGCTCGGTGGAGATGGGCCAGAGGGAGAGAAATCCCGACGCCGGCTTTGGTCCGGCGTCGCCGTTCGCAAAGGCCTTGGTCACGGAAAAATCCACCGAGTTTTGTCCGGCGTTCAGGGACATTCCGGGAATGCTCGACTCGGTRGACCCGGCCTCGGCGGGGTTCGTTTTCTGGGCGTTCGGTCCGTTGCAGGGTGCCGGCTGGACCTTGTGCGAGGCWACGGCGGCAACGGCGACGGCAGCCGCGGGGGTTGCCTTCGCCTTGCCGGCGGCCTGGTTCGCGTCCCGGGTGTCTCCGTAGGGGTCCGTCACGTCCGATATTTTCGTCCCGTCTTCGACGAGAAAGTTCTTCGGGACCTTGATCTTTTTCACCGGGGACTGGGGCTTGCCGGAGTGGAAGAACGGGAGGGTGAACTTGCCGGTGCCGGCATTCTTGGTCCTCGTCGTCTGGAGGAGCGAAACCTTCTTTTCTTCTTTTTTCTTTGTCATCTTTTGTTCGGTTTGGATTGTTGCGTCACGAACAACAGCTGCGGTGGCACAAATCGTCTACAATAAACAATTTCTAGAGAGATGCAATCCAATGCGTTGCGATGCGATGCGTTGCGATGCGATGCGTCTCGATGCAATGAGACCCGGGTTTGTCGTATTTGTTTTCGTTTTTCGTTTCGATCCTTCTCGTATTTCTGTCGACAGTGCAAACCAATGAAGCAATAGTAGTCGCAGCTAGTTGTTGTTGGGTGAGGAGTGAGCTAACAAACAAACAAGGTTTGGTGGGTAGTGTAGTGTTGAACGCAACRCGAGACACCGGTAATGGYAGTTGCACCGGTAGTTCTCGAGAAGTGGATTCTCTCACGCGTKTGTCGTTCGATCGAAAGGAAGCACGGTGTGCATTGGAAGCAGTATCGCACCGTGATGCCTCGTGCGATGGTTCCACGGCAAAATGTGAACGACCGGCACTGGGAGGGAACAATTTGCGATGTGAAGAAGGCGATTGTCGATTGAGAAAACATATGCCGATTAAGCCCCAAGTGGGATATCCCTCTATCAAGGAATTTTATTAGCGATTTTCTGCTGTATGTCGCATACAGAAATGAGGATGAATATAATATCAATATAATATCAAGCATGAGAATTCGACTTCCTCGACCGCTCTGGATGTTGTATTATGTATTGTAGATATCATACATACTCTAGAATCSAATTCAACCTAATGCGCTTTCTCTCTTCTCTTCTTGTGCGGCACGTTTCCAACGGCACGAATAGCACCYGGTACATTACCAACGGTCGAATACGTGCCCTTACTTACCTACAAGTACTTCGTACGTATCGTTTGTACGGGACCGTCAGGATTATTTCGTTCGATTTACGGTATCTGTACCGTACGGTAGGCATTGCTGGGCTACTGTACGATGTACCGTACGTACTGTACTTTCCGATGTTACAGAAAGTCCACGTGATGCCCGGAAACGGTACTACGAGTATGGATCTTATCGTACCATGCCGTAAGTACGAGTACTGTACTACTGGYATGTCCCGGTACGGGTACTACTGTGGACCATGATGACAAAAGGTCCGACGCAACGAAAACGACAAAAGCACGAAAGAAACCTCCAGAAAAAGACTGGCAAAGCAACCTCAATCCACTCTGCTCGGCTCCAGAATCCACGACCCAATACCACCACACCGATAGAAAACAAGCTCGGCTTCTGCATCGAGTACGTACAGCCTTGCTATTCTAGGAACCATTCCCATTGGCGTTGCGTTTGTTGCACCTATCAGCAGACATACCCCTCCACCTACCACACCACATACCACACCGCATACCACACCGCATACCACACCACTACACCGCTCAGCTTCTGCTCGTACCCTTTGTCCCCGTGGACCCGACTGTTGCGTTCGAGAATGAGCGAGTCCTCCGTCAAGTCCGTCGAGGACGTCAATCTCGATCTCGCGGACCAAGCGATCAACGATCTGATGAAGGAGGCGGAAATGCTCATGCAGGACCTGCCCCTCGAAGCAGCCGAGGCCGAGGCCGGCGGTTCGGAGCCAGCTCCCGCCAGCGACGGCGGGGCCCCTGCTTCGACACCGTCATCCGCGGCGCCGGCACCGGTGGCAGCAAGCGCCGATGTCGGTGCGGCCATMGGCGACGTCGGAGGAAACTTCTCGATCGACGACGAAGACGACGAGGATGACTTTCGCGGGAGCGAGGCCAACGGCATTGCCAGCACCGGGGCCGGTGCGAGCGGCGTGGGCGCGACCGAGGTCGACGATCCCCTCCGGGCAGCGGCCTCGCCGCCCCCCGCAAAATCGCCCTCGATGGCCCAGAAGGTCTTCCGGGAGCTGGAACAGGACCACCCCCTCTCGGCCCTGTCCCTCGGCAACACCACGAAGATCCCCCTGACCGAACCCGGAAGCACAAAGGCCGCGGTGCCTCCGGCCACCCCCTCGCCGAGCATGGGCAGCACCATGTCGAACCTCTTCCAGCAGGGGAGCCACGGGATGGGGGGGGTCCTCCACAACAAAATGCACCGCATGGGTTCGGCCGGAGAGGCCGCCGCCTCGGGCATGGACACCTTTTCGAAAACGACCAGCATGTTCGCCTCCAACCTCGCCTCCATGGCCCAGCGGGGAATGGCCCACGTCGCCGCGGCCGCGGCACCCGTCCAGGCCGTCAGCGTCATGGGGGCCMCGGGAACGATGGCCGGCCAGGGAGGCCAGCCGCCAATGGTTTCGCCGGCGATGGGGACCGGCCACGGCGTTGTTTCGGGTCCGGGCGGCCCCCAGGCGGGGGCGGGGCCCGGATCGAACCCGCAGGGACACCCCCAGCTCGACAAGGAACAAAAGATAGGCCTGCTGAAAAAACACGTGGGCCCCCTGCTCAAGGGAGAACAGCTGATCATGTTCCTCACCAACCTTCTCCACGTGAGCGACACCTCCGGGCTGTCCTACGTCGCGACCCAGCAGCAGCAGGCGTCGCAGGGCGGGCCCGTGCCCATGTGGTGCGGCGTCATGACCTACTACCGGCTCATTCTCTTCTCGACGGCCGACAGRGACAGCCCCTCCGTCCGGCCGATGGAAGCTCCCCGGGGATGGGACCCGAACTGCTGGAAGGCCGCCACCCCGCGCATCGCCTCCGTCAACATCCTCGAGATGCCGCTGGCCTCCATGGACCGGGTGGAAAAAACCGTCTACCAGGCCTCCGGGTCGAGCTACATGGGCCTCATCGTCCACGGAAAGGACTGCGGGCGGAAAATCCAGTTTTCCACCTCCAGCTACGTCGACACGAGCCGGGCCTTTGAATCCCTCAACACCTATGCCTTTCCGGGCCGCCGCAACCTCGGGTATCTGTTCGCCTTTGAGTCRAAGCGCCAGGCCGTGCAGGACAGCATCAAGGTGGACGAGGCGTCCGGCCACCAGGGCGTCACCCTCCCCCCCACGCCCAAGCGCTTCGACCCCATGACGGAATTCCCCCGGCTGCTCAAGAAGACGGCCATTACCCAGCCCCCRTGGGCACTCTGGGCCGCGGCGAACGCAAACTACCAGCTCAGCCAGTCCTATCCTTCCGTTCTGGTCGGACCGGCATCCCTCGACGAAACCAAGCCGGAAGCCCTGAGGGTCATCCGCCAGTGCGCCGCCTTTCGGAAGGCCCAGCGGCTGCCCAGCATGTCGTGGTGCGGCGTCGGCGGTGCCTCCATCTGGAGATCCTCGCAGCCAAAGGTCGGCCTGCAGGGAAATCGATCCCCCGCCGACGAACTCTACGTCCGGCACATTATCGAATCGGCACGGGGAGCCAGTAAGTTCTCGTCGACTCGTCTGCCCGCTCGCTGGCTCGCTCGTTCGCTCGGAAGAACATGCCTTGCCGCGCAAGCCATCGCTTGCGCTTGATAAAACGGTGTTCTAACCCCTCTGTTGCTTCGCACCGTGCCGTGCCGCACCTCGTTTTTGTTTCCAGACGCCATGGCGGAACCTCCCCCGATCTACCCACGCGGTGTTTTGGAGCAACTGACCGGTGATTATACCGCCAGCAGCGGAGGAAAGGGCGACGATTGGCTACCAGAACCSGGCTGCGGGCTCAAGATTTTGGATCTGAGACCGCGGGCAGCCGCCATGGGCAACAGGACCGCGGGTAAGAAAAGATCGTCAGGAGCCGCCGARTGGACAACCCACCGTGCCCTTTTTGTCTGTATTGATTGCTGTTGTCTTTGGGAGCACACCGAAATTTTCCTTCGATGCCTCAYCGCGAATGAATCTATCTAACTGGATTTCTTCCGTGTGTGCGGTTCCACCCTTTCCCTTGCGTYGCKTTCTTTTTGTAGGGTATGGGTACGAAAATACATCCAATTATTCCAACACGACCCTGAAATTCACCAACATTCAAAACATTCATGCTGTGCGGGATAGCTATGAGAAATTATGCACCGTGTGCAACAGTATATCCACGGCCGATGTTCACTGGAATTCTTTGATCGAAGACACGAAATGGCTTTCTCATATTCGGACGATTCTCGCTGCCTCCTGGGAAACCGCCTACTGGGTTCACGTCTGGAGACTCCCGATTCTAGTCCATTGTAGCCACGGATGGGACAGAACGTCTCAGACAGTCTGCCTGTCCCAGCTCCTTCTGGACTCTTACTATCGAACACGCCACGGTTTTAGTGTGTTGGTAGAGAAGGACTTTATGAGCTTTGGCCATCCGTTCCATCTGCGATCCGCACACGGCGAAGGCCGCAGCGACACCAAGAATGCTCAATCCAACGACGTTTCTCAAATTTCTCCGGTATTTTTGCAATTTCTGGATTGTGTCTATCAATTGGTGGAACTCTACCCGAGTGCTTTTGAATTCAACACGCAATACCTATTGGACCTATCGTTCCACATTTACAGCTGCCGTTTCGGAAACATGTTGTGCGATACAGAACGCGAACGAGAATCGATGGCAGCAATTCGCCAACGCACCTATTCGGTGTGGGATTATCTCGAGACGAAACCTGAAAATTTAAACCAAAACTACGCGAAGGCCGATGATGCCATTCTAATGCCTTTGCCTACGTTGYTGAGGAATGTAAAAGTATGGAAAGAACGTCATTTAGCATACTGCCCCAAAGCAAGCACCATGGCATTTTAAATTCTCTTTCAAGAGCAATCAAACCGAATAATACTTTCTTTCCTTGATTACAGAACTCTTGCATCCGCGACAGCAATGGCCAAGGCCGGTTATACCAATATAGAAGCACCACTGTCATTCAACAACAAAAGGGTCTGAATACAACAAGAAGGATCTAGATGTCTTTCTGAAAGTGATTTTCTTTTTACGCTAAACATTAGATTTGAATAGGGGCAGACTACTTACAAGCGATGCTTTATGAGTACCTTACGATACCTCTGGTTGGAGAAGGAGAAGACATCAAATATCGAATAATGCTTCATTCACTGAGTTTGRATGATTTTTTTGCCTACAAGAGTATTTCTTGCAAAACCAACCACAGAAGACWAGAACAATCAATAGTAGGACAAACGATGCAGTCGCTCCCCCGATTAATGTGTGTTCCATTCCATTGTCTTTTTCGTCCGTTTCTTTCGGTGAACTTGTTGGCGTTKTATTGATCTGGTTTAAAGCAATCGTAATCGAGAAYGACACCCTATTTATCAATGCGTTTCGGCTTACCGGATGCGATTCTTCTACTGAAACGTTCCCTTCAACGACAACTGAGGAGGGACGGTTTGTTCCGAAAAAGACTGAACTGACAGGAGTTTCCATATAACATTTGCTCATGGCACTACAATTCATTTTTGTTGCACCATCTTCATTTATAGCTTCAGCACCATCGACTACCGAAATCGAAAAGTCTTCCTGTCGTAGTTTGGCACTGTTCAAGGATACAACCTTCGCATCCATGATTGATGCGACTGAAACACAAATCCGTAATTTAGGGCTGTCCTCTGATATTGTTCGATCAAAACATGTATTAAAGATATTGCAATGGCACACGACAACAACAGGTGATTCGTCGTGCCTCTCATTTGTTGATATATCCGTGGGAGATWCGGAAATCTCTCTGGTTGGGTGGTATGAGAACGGGAGGCCTGTTGGTATTTCATGAGGTTTTCCTTGCGTCTTTCCCGTGGGAAGCGCAGATGGCAAGACTGACGATCCATCGCCATCATTACGAATATTCAACCTTGAAGGATGACTTGAAGACTTGATAGAATTTCGTGATGATGGCTTGGCTGACGCAAAAGTTGAAGCAGTCGAAGGTGAAACGGAAGAGATGGATCTATTTTGCTGCAAAGAAGGAGCTTCTGAAGATATGACATCTGGATTGAATGATGGACTTAGAGATGGTGCGATCSCCGAAAGTGGTGAGGGACTCKTGCTCAATTGAACCTGTGCCGGAAAATGAAAAATAGGTATATCTCTCCATGAACAACTTTTATARTTCCCTCTAAAAACCTGTTGTTCCGAGCAAGCACTCTCATTTACAACCAAGGAATCATTCTCCCTGCATATCTGGCGACCCAGCCAAATATTCAAATCGGAAACCTCTGGGTCTATTGCCCCGCTATCTGCAGAACCCAATGTTTCTGAAACAGGGAAACCACAAAATGGTGAACCATCGAGGAATACTTTAATGGAATTCTTTGAGATCACTGTCGCCACCATGGAACCATGRTCGTTTAATGCAAAAATTGGGAGCATATCGTCGCTATGGACTTCTCTTATCGGTATGRTGCTATTGACAGGTTGCCCCCAAGAATTCCACGATTGACGTTCGTAAACTCCAATATAACCTGCTTGCGGTACACCACCACAYTCATCGTTGCTGGTGGTTTTCATCCGTGAAGTTGCAATAGCGATTCGTTCACCTGTAYGAGATATCGCCACATGAGTTCCGAATCGATCCGCTTTGTTTCGTCCAGTCATAGGATCTCMGACTAAAACCCAGCGACGGGTAGAACGTATAGAAGAACCTGATTTCCGCCAATGAAAAAGACGCACGATACCACATCCAAGACTTTCAAATGATTCTTGTTCACTGATTACATCATCATCTGCAGATGTCCCTTCCACATCTTTCGTTACTTTCCAGCCAGGGGATCCAATCAGTAGATAGGGTTGCGTGTTAGCACTCATGTCAAGACTAGAGCCGAACCTTTCTCCTTCGTTTGATCCCGTCAAATCATTCCCAATTTGTTTCCAACCGGTTGATGTTGCAAGCGAAACGCCATAAACAAGGACGAGGCCCTGATTTCTGTTGTATCCTGGACAGCCAATGGCTAATTGAAAGTCATATTCGAGGTAGCCATCAGCGATACTTAAAGCAGAACCAAACCGATCATCGGCGTTCCTACCCTTCAGATGTGTCATAAATTCGTTCCATTCCGAATCATGAATGTTTAGGGAGGAAAAGTCACGCACAAATACTTGTACTTTACCACGATTCGATAGCCACGTTTCACAACTCATTGCGAGGACTAGCTTTGATTTAGCTTTAAACAGCTTCACGGATTGGCCGTCAGCAACGCACCAGAATGTACCGACATTCAGAAATACAAAGTCAGCGCTTTTCTCGTTCATTGCAACAGAAGCGGTATGACTTCTGTTGCTTAGGATTTCCCAGACTTGAACCTGTTTTGCTGACGATGCATGGCGGCTAGCTAAGAATCGACCGTCGGACGAAAGGGAAAAATTGACCCCGTCGACACCATTCAATTGGCCAGCAAACTCCCATACCAATGCCTCGACATTACTATCAGACGGTCTCACCACAAGGTCGTAAATAATGATCGACTTATCAAATGTTCCTACTGCCATCCGTCGACCATTCTCGCCAAGTTCAATTCTTCGAGAACTGGCTCCTASTGAGGGCGCAAGAGGAATCCAAGATCCGTGGAGCTCGTAACCATAACAGAAAATTAGATTGAATAGAATAAGCAAGGCGTTGTACATTTGGTTTCTTGCCATAGTTCAAGTGATGATGGTACGAAAATAGCGAGACCCAGGACGACAACGATCATAGCCGTGTTGTTGATTTTTTTTTTTGTAAATCCAACACGATACCTTCAATGTGTATCGTTCTTTGAGACTTCAAGAGATGCTACCCAAACATTAGCGATTACAGCAAAAGCCGACCCAACGAAACTGACGAGAAACGTCTCAAAATCGGTCTTCACAATTTGGTGTCACAATCACTCTTCACATTTTCCAACCGTGATGATGTCCATTTTCTTAGAGAAACAGATTCATTTATTCATCATAAAAAGGCTAAACCGCCAACGAACTTGCTTTCTGTTTTACACCGATGGCACGCCATGTTTTTGTTGCCGTTTCCATGCCGGTACAAGTGCTTACTCATAAATCTGAACACCTCTCTTCCGAATTTGTYGATTCTAATGCAATTCGAATGATGTGTACAATTTTACTGTACTACGCGTAAAATAACAAGTGAACTTCCTTCACTATGCGAAAAATAACAATCAAGCAAGAGAATCTGCTATCATTCCCACACAAGAGCCTACTACCCTGCTTTGGAACCTGAAATTGACTGAAGATACACTCAACATTTGCAAACTCCATCACAGGCAATATTGGCTTGAATCATAAAAATGCAATGAAAAGAATAATCAAATTATTGTCCCTGATATGTCATTGGCAGACACAGGAGCAAAACCTTTTACCCTCTAAACATGACACTGGGGACGAGGATGTTCAGCTACTAAACTTAGTCTACTAGACCCTACTGCCTTTCCTTCTTGTTGCACTACTAGTAGTAGTAGTAGTAGTAGTAGTAGTAGTAGTAGTACTAGTAGTAGTAGTAGTAGTAGTAGTAGTAGTAGTAGTACTAGCTGGCTTGGCACTTTTTTTTGCTTACCTTTCTTTCTATCAAAATTTTGCATAGATTACAAACATGGAAGTTATTCTGTCAGTAGAGCAATTTTTAGTACTGTTATTGCAACAAGGTTTATGCTAAAATTTAGGGATGCGGCTTTTACTAAATTTTCCAATTTTAAGCAACAAGAATAAAGTAGAAGTATTTGAATAATATTAGTAGTACCAGTACTAGCAGTAGTAATAGTGCTAAAGACCTCAGATTCTTGTGTGTTGTTGTACTAGTATATTTTTCCTTTCCTTTGTCTATCCTTTGCTCCTCTGAAAACACTCTTTGACTCGTAGATCAAGTTGTTTGGAGACAATAKTGATAGTGCAATTTTAGTTTCATTCTGCTAGTAATATTAGTATTAGTTGTTCAAAACAGCATTGACATGAGAACACTAGTACCATCTGTCAAAACTCCAAGATCATAAAAACATGCTTTGACAAACTYATTGATATGTGACAAAATATTGCTTTACTGACTGCTAATTTTTGGCCAAATATCCCTGTATTAGTCAATAAAGACTATGATTGTCACAGTTGGAGTTGGAAAAATATCTTTCCCCCATCACACCTCACAAATCAACGTTTCTCCCTGTTCTCGTGCCTTCTGTGTTGCTTGATTGCTCAAAGCTTTGCTTTTCTAGTTGTGTGTTCAACTACCTGAACAACTGATCGGAAGGCAAAAGGCTCGTTTGCAGCAAGTTCTGCCAGTATCTAGAGAAAGCAAAAGTTATGCAGAAGTAAGAAATTGTCAATGAAGGCAACCCAAGAAATGTATTCAAAACGACTAATCAATCTATCCGTCTTTGGCCATACATCAATGGTCAGCAAACATAATCAAAAACAAGCAGACACGGAAATAATCATAATTTACCTTGCGATCTAATTTGATTCCAGATTGCTTGTAACAGCCCATAAATTGAGAATACCTCCAAGAATACTGCCGAACTCCTGCATTTATTCGTTGAATCCAAAACTTTGACCATTCTCGGCGTTTCACGCGACGGTCACGGTAACCATACTGCCAAGATTTCTGTAAGCGACGAATTGCGACACTAAAGCAATTTTTCGACCGACCTCGAAACCTGGAATGATGGACAAGATGTAAAACAAGCGATTGGYCAAGATGAATGAGAAATCGTACRCACGGGGAAATCCTTCCAACCCTTGCCACAGGCCAAGAAATCAGAGTGAAGTACAACGGCAATTCAMRGTATTCTCACCCCTTAGCTTTTCTAAGTACATTTTTATGCTGGTTGACGAAGAAGAAAACGAAACGATCAGGTACGCGTAGAAAAGAGAAATAAACCGCGAACAGGCAAAATGAATTCAACTTGTTCTGTCCGCCAATATTCCTTATTTTTGCATGCCATTGCCATCAATGTAGTCAAAAAATTCCAMACAACCGTACCTTCTTCGAAGCAAAACTCCTCGTCACCGTCAAAACGTTCGAAGCTGACAAATGCGGAAGTTCGTTTTGCCGTCGGAAGGTGTTATTTGTGAAGGGATTGGAACGTGAAATTTTCGAAAAGAGCCCCGTTCCTCGCGAGAAAAATTGAAACGACATTGTGGGTAAGGAAGGTTTGATGACAAGTGACCTAGGTTACTGTGATCGGGACTCGTACTCTTCTCTTCTACCGTCGGATGAGTTGATTGTCAATATTTCAATTTCAATGGAAATGAGCTCGTAACGTTACCGGTGCTACTACTGTGTGCTATCAGTGAGTGCCGTACGTAGTACCGTACGGTAGTACGAACTTCCCGGATTGATTTTTGTTCTGAAGTACGATTACCGCACCGTACAGTACTGTAGGGCACTACTGTATTATCCTATCGTTTTGTATGGTGTGGTGTCCGTGCGTGCTTGTGGTGCCTTCTGATTTCTGATTGATTGAGCGGACAGGTTAGAGTACTATGATTTATTATGATACTCAATCGTCATACTATTCATAGTATCGAACATCAAACCATAATGCAATGGGTCATTCCCGGTAACCTTGAAATATGTCTTTTTTGGCTGGCCGGTTATTTTTRTGTATGCAATGTCAAATACACAGATTTTAGTTGCAGTGAGCTTACAGCAACCAGAATTGTCTGTGCGTGTAAGAGATATTTTTTAATGGAATCCTCCTTGTTGTCTGAACAGATTCAGTCTTGTGAGCAGGCGTGCATTACTAAAGACAGGAGTCACTTCTTGGTGGCACCAAACTGCTGGAGAATTTTGATCTTGTTCCTTCTTCTTGTTACGAAAAAGCATATCCTCTTTGTTGCTTCTTCTCCTCAACAGGAACAGAACACACCACTCAACATGGAGGCAGAACACTTTCAACCAACAACACATCACCAAAGAAAAAGAGGAGTGTGCAGAACATGATACTAGGAGGGGGGGGGGGGCTGTAGGCAGGCGTGTGCAACCCTCTAGTTAATAGTAACACAAGCATCCAGATTCTTCTCCTGTTGTGGAGGATGCACAAGCTTGCTAAGAGGGGAAAAGAGCACCAGCATCATCTTCTTGAGAGGAAAGACCTTGGTGAAGAGTGGGGGGGATGCCCTCCAAAATCCAGTATGTGATAAGYGTCCCTCATCCTATGGCTCATAAAAAAGAAATCATAGCTCCAGCTCCAGAAGCAGTGGCTCAAGAGAGAGGAGGGAGGACTTGTGGCTCCATCAACTACTACTCCCTTGTTAGAGAGACCATGTGCATGCTTACAACCTTGAGGAAGATC